TTGCTTGTGTTATCTTTGTCTAATATTTAAATTTGTTTGATGATCTGAAACAAGCAAGTGTGACAAACATTCAAAAGAAGAAGAAATCAGGAAGGGGGCAAACACTTCTTCCCACCGCTGTACCTGTGTGAAGGAAATGTAGACCTGTCACATATCCATCCAGACCTCCTCTATCCACTTTGTATTCTCTGTAGATTAAATGTTGTCAGACCATAATGGAGAAACAGTACATTTTAATATAATGATGTTAATTGAAAAAGAGAAAATGACCTCTAAGATCCAAAGAGGAGAGAAAGAAGCAAGAGATTGTCTAATAGAAAACTTCCCCAGGGTTTTACAGAAAGTGGTACTTACTGCCACCTAGATTCAATCAGCAGAATCAGATTAAAGATATGGAGCAACACAGTTTTAATTAGGGCATTTTCAAGTATGATATTTTGTTGGAATAATAATTGCCTTTGAGTGATGTTTGGTAGAAAGCTGACAGAGTGTGGACAGAAATGGTTGTTCGTCGGTCAAGGTCATATCACAAATGTGCAGCGGTTCTCTTTTTGTTCTTTCATTGTGAGGTAAATGTCTTGCATTAAAGCCTTCTGCTCCACTGTCATTAATAATTCAATTCCACTTTCAATTCAATTTTATTTATTTAAGTGGTCATGGCAGAGGACTGCCCCTCCCTGAGCCTGGCTCTGCTGGGGTTTCTTCCTGTTAAAAGCAAGTCTTTGCCCTCCCATTCTGCTGTTTTTGGGGTGGCTGTAGCTCAGAGTAAGTCGCCTACTAATCGGAAGGTTGGTGGTTCAATCCTGCCTGCTCCAGTCTCCGTGGGCAAGATACTACCCCATGTTGCTCTCTGATGCATTCATTGGAGTGTGAATGCATGTGAATGTTGGATAGAAAAACATGCTTGTGTGAATGAGACAAGTTCTGTCTTGTCTTGAGTGGTCAGAAAGTGATCTAAGAACTACTCCATTTACCACCATCCCCAGCTGCGTGCTCTAGGGGAGTTTACTCTGTTATTGTAGGTCTTCATCTTACAATATAAAACACCTTGAGGCAACTGTTTTTGTGATGTGGTGCTATGTAAATAAATTAGAATTGAACTGAAGAGTGACTAATGTCACTACACGTTAGTAAGTTTAATGAGGTTCCCTCTGCACTTCTGTGGTCATTTGCTAAGGTCTGAAGTCTTTTCTGTTCTACTCTGCTGCATAAGATAAGGAATATATGTGTGAGGAACTCTGGGTTCACACAGGCAAAACTTTCCCTTGTCCTTTAGAACACATTAACAATAGGTAGATGTTTCAGCTCATGCTTTTGTCCCTGGTTTGTGTCCTTCCGCAGAACTCAGTGTGTGCTGCATGCTTTTTCTTCTGCAGAGGAGCCCTTAAAATTAAAAGAGCAACAGAGCAAAACCATCCTTTGTCAGTCAGTACTGCTGTGAACTCATGCAGGACCAAGCAACTGTCTAAGATGCCAAGCTCCCTAGAGCTCAGGAGGCCCATCAGTCTGGCCTGTGGGCTTCTTTCACACTGGTTTTATCCATGGCACAATGATCAGGAGGATTAAAGTGGTAACTGATAGCAAAAACCCTGCTCACAGCTTTTGAGGATGCTGTCAGAGGCCAAAGGGGAAGACAGAGCTAAGTAGAGCTGGACGAGCTGAGCAGAAGATGATGTCCAGGTATGGCTCTTATTCTTCCAAAAGAAGAGATTTCTGGCTTTCTCTGTTTCTGACCTTTAATAGGAAAATGATTATTACACTACGTGTTGTTCTGATGACTGCTGAGTCATTTGTATCAAACGCATTCTTGCGTCGCCTAAGTGCCTTTTAAATTGTGTTAGTATTTTATTCCACAATAAAAAGTGTGGTTTACAGGGAAACAGGGGCTTGAATTTCAACTAAAACTGTGTAAGTAATATTGTCTGCATCCAGGACGCAGATAAATACAAACTGACTGAGCCATCAGAGGAAGATGCAGGCTCTTATTGAAAGCAGACCTCGTCGGGTAAATGCATTTAAAAAACAGATTTGACTTTTGAATGATTTTATTTCTGTGTTCTAAAAATACATAAATCCAGAATTATTTATGCTACCTTTGAGCTACATATACACTGTACTGAGGCCATAAACAGTAGTTTGGGCATGTAGTTCAGATCTGCAGTGACAAAGAAACACTTGTGAATTGTATTTTCTTTTTTTGCCAAACATCATCAGAATTCTACAACTTCCACCTCTAAGTGCAGTTTGCTGCATTTAACAGCTCTGCGACCTGTCATCTGACACATGAACGGTTTGTCTGCTCTGTGGGGCTAACAAAAGTAAATCTCACAACATGGACTGTGCTTAAATCTCAGCAGCATCCTGGAAAGATTGAAGTTTTCACAGTGAGGAGTGCTTTTCAAAGCCCAGTGTGGCCAATTTAGCTTCACATCAGTTGGAGCAGTTGCTGAATTTGTTGATATGTTGTCCTTTCTTTTTTTTAGTTGTGATGCATTTACTAATGTTAATATTCACGTCTCAGCTTTGCCTTTGTAAGTCTCACCTTCAGCGTTCAGTAAGGGGGAAGAATGGCCAGAGAGCTTCTGACGATGACTTGATGCTTTAATGGTTTATTTCATATTTGTTTAAAAATGGTTTTCGTCCAAAAATCAAAAAATCCACAATTCTGTGTGATCTGTGACAGATATCAGTGACATCATAACGCCCTGTATGTGCTAGACTGAAACAAAAGCTTTGAGCTTTTCTGCCTCGTGATGATGGAGGTCACAGTTCAGCCAGCTTTTTCATTCCCTACTAGCGATAAGTTAGAGTCAAAGTGTGAGTGAGTATTGTAGCTCACCACCACCACCCTCCACCACCTACTTAAAAAAAAGCAGCTAGGGAGGAATCGGAAGTGTCCTCTAACCTTAGAGCTCCCCTCGCTCCTTTCCCCCCTCCAGGAGGCTTTTGAAAAGGCAGACAAGAAGCTGATGGTCCTGGCTGACCTCTGCTTTGTCTTCTGGCTCATCTGGGCACAAATGCAGTTTCATAAAGCCTGCTGCTCAACCTTAAGAAATCCAAAAGCTGGGACAGATAATTATTGTAGAAATGTTGCTGCTCATCACTGAGATGGACCAGTTTAGCTGTTTTTTTTAGTTTTGATATCAGAGCTCTGATTCCCTATCAAAGTCCTTTAGCTGTTGCCTGGCATTAGCTTGTATCTTTTATTTAAAAAATCTGGGGCTGGGATATGTATCAAGGAGTCCTTGTACTCACCAACGGCAGATAAAGAATGAAGGGGAAAAAATAACAGCACAAACTTTCTGCTCTAACACATGGCCACGGCATATTTTACAAGCATTCAATTTCCACCTGTGATCTAATATCACTCCAGGGAAATTCCAAATAGTACATCATGACTTGGAGTTTGCAGGATTGTTATCCAATATTTTGTACATATACAAAACAGAGAGATATTCCAAATATTCCAGTTCAAATAATACCACCTATTATGAACTCAGTGATAAAACAGGATTCTGTCTGTCATAAAATTAATCAAATGAAAAAAAAAGCAAAAACAACTGATCGGTGTAAGATTGTGAAACGCATATGATTTTTACCTCTTTGCATGTTTATGTGTGAGGTCATCAGGGTGACGTCTTTAACTGATTCATTTCTGTATTCAAAAACATCTGTTTATGTTAACAAGACGCCGAATTTGTTCCAGACGGCAACGAAAATATGATAACTCATAACTATCTACAGAAAACGGGTTGGTGCATTTTTAAAGGGAGCAGAAATGACATCAAAAGCACAGCCAAAGCCCTGCTACACTGTAACTCAGCCTGTTAACACAAAGTTAAAGAACAGAAACACAGCGACCTGCAGGTGTGTGTGTGTCTGTGTGTAAGACTAACCTCATGTGACCAAAGCTAAAAGCCCAGCATGCTCTCCTCTCCGCCCAGCTAACCGAGGCCTCTGAATTCACTGACTGCTGCGTCACATCCCGCACTGAGTTTGTTTTTATTTCAACCGAAGGCAGAAAATTATTACTTGACTACTCAAGACCACTGCTTCACAAGACCTTTGAAGAAACCAGTACATAATTAAAAAATAATTCCTCACGTGTTGTAAAACTCCCACGGTGCACTTTTTGTTGTGTCAGTCCTGCTAAATATTCGAGCTGCGCGTGACTACAGCGCATGTGCGTGTGTCCGCGCTCACATTTCTCGCTTTCGTGATTTTCTTCTTCTATTGAAACTTTTCTTCAGTGGATCACTTTCTCACTTCCACCTTATTTGCTCCTTTATTTTATTCAGCTACAATTTGTCTTTCTTTCTGAACCAACTTTCGCACACTAGAAAATTCCTGTAGCAGTTGGATCGGACTGAACTGAGCGTGCTTACAATCGCGTTGTAATATGCTTACATTTATATCAGTGAAAACACAGACTCATCGGACTGTCAGAGATTATTGATGAATGATCGCAGCTGTAGTGCTGGCTTTACATCAGAACTCCGTGTGTTTGGTCATGTTTATGAAACTGGGAGCTGCTGAATAGCACGTGGATATTAAAGTTAGTGACAATATGCATTGATATATTTATATCAGTGTAAATTTTACAGGCTATATTCCACTACATTGTTGAAAATTTCAACAAAATGAGCCCCACAGGGCACAGAGACATGCGTCCCCGCACGACTTTGCGCGCATATTTACGCAGGATGGCAAAACAGAAAAGACTAATGGATGGGAACAGTAAAAAAAACGCTTGGGAATATTTTTCCAAAGATTTGAAAAAACAAACAAACCCCAAACAACCTTTTGGTTCCAGTTCAGTGAAAAACATCCCAACGATGAAAATACATCCCTATATTCTGTTTACTGTATCTTCACCCAGACGGGAGGAAGATCGGCCCTCAGGCCCCTTTAAACAATTTTATGCGGGGGTAAAGTACGCACCATGAACAAGAAACTATTATAACACACACACACACACACACACACACACACACACACACACACACACACTTGAGGTATTAAAGCTTGCTGTAAAGGCCCATTTTATCATTAGTTAATTAATAATAATAATATCATTCAGGCAGTCAGAATGCGGACTGTCTCTCCGACCTCCAACACCGCCACAGCCCCACAGGCCTACCCAACCCCGACCCACGCTTTGGTCCCGGTAATCGGTGTTAAGCTGTTTGTGTTTAGGTGTTGATGCTAACTTGTGCTGCATTCAGGCTCTGTGAGAGGAGCTGGAATGAGCCCGCGAGTCACCAAAACTTTGCGCGGCATTTCCATTACAGGTCATGGCAGTGAGCAGGCGGCCTTCAGCCGGTTAGGATTCTGTAGGATATTGCAAATGAATTATTTTTTCCAAGATGACAGCCAAAGAGGTGTGCTCATAACCTTATGAGAGCAAACAACCAGCCCTGCTCATCACTATGTGTGAGCAGGAAACTAACCCAGTCAGTGGAAGCCTAGCCTCTCAATCCTTCGTGGAAATGGAGCTGCTGAGCTGTGTGTTTTCCATTGGGATGTTGGATGTGAATTGGTAGCGCCTGGAAGATCAAAGCTTTCGTTCTTCGTGTCTGTCCACGTTATCTGTTTGTCTTGTAGTTGTAATGAGATAATAAGGAGTTGTGTGGAACTGAAATAATGTCATCACCAATTTCTGAGTATTGTTTCTGCTAGTGTGACTCCAGAGGTCAAACGGAACCTTCAAACATTCAGAGAAGTGGAATTTTCCGCTGGAACCTGAATGCACCGTAAAGTGACTGAGTGGATTGGATTAATTTGCGCCTCCCGGGAATTCCGGAACCTCACATGACACCAACTCTCTGCCTCTATTGGTCGGAGGCACGTGTCTGAACGACCCGTAGTACGACGTCATCGCAGTGTCTCGCAGCCAATCAGAAATGAAAACCAAAAATCAGTAGTGAAAGTATTTGAGCGGCGTCTTGATGAGCGCACTTGGAGCTGCTGGAGCGTCAGTAATTGTGTGCAGGGAGCAAGAAAATCAAAAGAGTGATTTAACAAAGCAAACAAACGAAATGGAGTTTTATGAGATTCAAAGTGACGCAGGTGAGCTGCAGGTCGAGGAGTGAGGAGCACAAACTGAAGCATGTTTTTTTTTCCTTTGTCAAATTCCCCACAGGCGCGTTTGCACAGAAAACAATACAAACTACTGCGCCACGCTCCAACTCGCTCTTCTCACTGCAGCGACAAATATAGATATTAGCTGATAATAAAGTGATATTGGAGTCACTACGCTGCGGAAGGGAGCAGGTGCTGAAGCTGCTCAGGCTTCATCAGAATGGAAGGAAATGCTCGCCGAGACCCAGAGCGCCCACGGGACTCCGGGGAGCAGTCCAACCGGGCCATCCTGCCCCTCTTGCAGCCACCTGGCAACCAACAGTCTCACAGGATCACTAACTTTTACATCGACAACATTTTGAGGCCGGACTTCGGCCTGAAGAGGAAGGATGGGGCTCCGGATCGGCAGGGAGACGCTCTTGGAGTGCTCATACAAAGAGAGGAGCTGACAGGGAGAAAGCCTCCCAAAAGTGCTAACCCTCGGCAGGGTGGAGCAGGAGGCAAAGAAGAGGAGAACCCAGGAGAGCATGAAGACCAGCATCCGGACATTGACGCCAGGAGGCCCGGCGATGTGGCGGCTAATGACCGCTGCCGCAGCCCTCAGGCCAGCACTGCCACAGCGGCCAAATCGATGCTGTGGCCAGCTTGGGTGTATTGTACTCGCTACTCGGACCGTCCGTCATCAGGTTAGTAAAAACATTCCTCATCCAGGTCTAATTCATGAAAAGCAAAAGAAGGAAAAGACAGCTCCTCTTTGCAATTCAGAGTCACTTTAAAGGCTGAATTTCAGGAAGGAGCCAAAAAGCTGCTATTGCATCATTTTCTGAGCAGTGCCGAAGTAATGGCCTCTACCCCCACCTTCATATAATATACTCATCACTTGTAACAACTCATCATTAAATCAACACAACTGATGTTGGAGTAATAATTTCATACTTTAAACCTGAAATGACAGGAGCAGTCTGAGCGCAGATTTCACATGAATTTAGACGCATATTGGAAACTCGTTTCTATTCTGTACAGAATTCAATCTGAATGTAGCTTTAAAATAAAAACAAAATCCACGAAGCGGCTGGAAAGTGCTCTGAAAAAACGACGAAATTAAACATGAGTCGAAAGTAAAGTTAAATGATATTGAAGTGAAGTAAAACCAAGTTAACGCCATTGTTCCCCAGTCCTCTTTGTTAATATTCTATTAGCATATTTTTGACAATGGGGTAGTCTAAAAAGTGAAGGCTGTGTATCCAAAGTCCGTCGGTTCAATCTAAAAATGCTTAAGAACACAGTTCCAAAGTTAATTTTATTTTATTTAATTTCATCTCACTTGTAAAAAAAATAAAATAAATAATAATAATAATAATAATGATGATGATGATAAGAAGAAGAAGAAACCCCACATCTGCGTAGTAAATGTTTGCAAATGGAGCATTTCCCTCACGTTATGGTGCATCGCGGTGAAGCCTGTTTCCAGCCTGTCCCTCTCTCTGGGAGTTTTTAGGGCTAAAGTGGAAGTTTGCAACGGGCTCGGCTCATTCAGCCAGCGGATGCGTGGAAACTTGGACTTTTCCTTTGTCACCATGTCAGCTGCTAAAACGATGCTACAGCACAGCAGCCGAGCACAGGAAGAGACCGTAGTCATGTCACCTTCGGGATTTCTTCATTTAGAAAGAAGACCAAAAAAAACTAGAAAAAAATGCCGGGTTGCGGATGGAAGAGTTTTGTTTTTGTTTTGTTTTTATTTATTTTATTTATTCCTAACAAAAATATTTATTTGTTTATTTATTTAAATCGATGAATCGAAAGAAAAAAGCGTTCATCGAGTTCATGAAAGGCTCCTGGCCGGAGAGCCCGCAGCCTCCCTCGCATGATTCTGTCCGCGCACCGGTCCGGTTACCTGAGCCCCGGCGCACGTTACAGCGTCCCGATGCGCGTGACCAGGTCAGAGTGCATGCAGGCCTTCAGCGCAGCTGCTTCATGTGCACCTGTACTGATGGGGAGTTCTGTACTGAGCAGGTACACCTACTGTCCTTTACACTGAGTTCAATCATTTCTCATGGATGGTCCACCTGATCCCACCACGGCAGAAACACCTCAATGTCAGTGCAGAGACAAAAGAAAAGTACTTTTAAAAAATAGAGTTCCTATGCTACAGAGAGGGAAAGAGGCGCCCAACGCCCCCATCCCTCCTCATCTCCAAACCCCACCCCCATCTGCACCCTCTCCTCCTCAGCATTAAGCTGTGCTTAATGCCCAGTGTGGTCCATTGCATCCAGTTGGATGGAATTAAAGGTTGTGACCAATATGTCCTTTAAAATAAGATTAGACTTACTAAAAACTAATCAACTAGATTAGCCCCATGTCGCTGACTTTCTTCTTCAGTCCGGATCTAAACAGCTTTGTCAGGAGGTCACGTGAGTCCTGGCCGCGAGGATAAATTTGCCTAATTTGGCGCAAATGTGAACAGAGACGTTTTCCACTCATAACTGAGCCCGTTTCATTTTTGTAAGTACAGCTGAGGTGTAAAAATGTGACGTGTGAAAAGTCCACGGTACTGACTCTAACCACTGGCTGTCATTTGTTTCACTCCCGCTGCACTTCAGGGCCCAGATCTCGCAAACCAAAGAAAGCGCCGACCCCGAGTAAAGAGGACAAACGGCCCCGGACGGCCTTCACCGCGGAGCAGCTCCAGCGGTTAAAAACAGAGTTCCAGAACAACCGCTACCTGACCGAACAACGGAGGCAGAGCCTGGCCCGGGACCTCGGTCTCAACGAGTCTCAGATCAAAATCTGGTTCCAGAACAAGCGTGCCAAAATCAAGAAGGCATCCGGGAATAAAAACTCTCTGGCGCTGCATCTCATGGCGCAGGGACTGTACAACCACTCGACAGCCAAGGACGCCAAGTCGGACAGCGACTAGAGGATGACAGTTGACTCTGAACATGCAATAAAATCACCAGCGTTCATATTTCAATTACACACACACACACACACACACACACACACACACACACACACACACACACACACACACACACACCTCTCTGTTTGTGACAGAGATGTTATGGCTGTATACTGTGTACTCAGGGCTGTAGATATGACGAGGCCCAGCTCAAGTCAAGATGGAGCCGCATTCATGTCACAGCCGGAATCTCCACCGTTTTCACTCGCTGCAGCCTGAAACCGCGACCAATGTGGCATTCAGGGTCCAACGGAAATATCTGCGGACATGGCGAACAATTAATACTAATGCTGCTCTTTTAAAATTGACCGAGAAGACATATAATAAATTCCAGTCTCATCGAAGTATGGGATAACATATCTTTAGGTAGAATAAAAATAAATAAACGACTTTAAGAACTACTTTTAAAACAGTTAAGTGTACTCCGCAGCTTGAATTAGTTTAAAGTCGCTGGTTCCTGGCAGACCTCTGTTACTGTGACCTGACTGCAGGCCGGGGATTCCACTCGATGGAAACCCGGAACAAACAGGGTCAAAGGTGTTCGGACAACAGCTGAGGAGCCATGTTCCTGGTTTAGTAGGTGTCAGCGTCATGTGACACATCCTACCTGCGTGCCTGCTACATCGTGCCCACAAGAGATTTCGAATCGTGGAATTTAAAAAAAAATAAAAACTAACAAACCATGTGTGACAGTGATCGCGCTGCAGTGTGGCCTAACTGCCCGCACAGAAAAAACAGAGTGGATAGAACTTAGATATTGTGGGCCTGCAGAGGAGGAAAATGGCTCCAGCTGCAGCCGAAACCACGACGGGCTCGAGAGCAGGTGATCACGCGATCAAGCATCACGCGCACTGCAGCCCTGTCTGAAAACTCTGAGCTAATATCCAAAGATTTCTTTCTGTTGCATTCCGGGAACTGTGGCGTGGACAAACGGTCCGCTGTGTTCTCCCTGTCTTACTGTACTTTCTGACCACGGGGCTCATTTCTGCAGCGCCTCTTGCTTCCTCTTTGTTCTTGCTGTGTCATGCCGCTGGACTGTAGTGAATGTTGACCTGCGGGTCTGCTTGTTGTGGTGGAAGCAGCCCTGTGCGGCCTTCAGGTGCCGCACTGCGCCCAGATGTGAGACCTCACGGTATGTCTGGAGTTAAAGGTGTGCTTTAAATCTGGTGACGAGTGTTTAGCAGCAAAATTGCTCTCAGATATCTGCCAGTAGATGCGCACACAACTTAACACAACCGGCTTTGAATTTTCTGATTTTAGCGATTATTATTATTATTATTATTATTATTATTATTATTATTATTATTATTATTATTATTATTATTTTAACTTTCTCCCGAAAGCCAACGACATTTCGAAAAATAAACTATCGCCTTAAAAAGCCAGTAGACCATAGCTAAAATTCATATCAAACCGCATCATCCTGAGGCCTCCAGGCAACCCGAGAATGTTCAAGAACACACTTCCTGTTGTTGTTAACGAAGATACTTTGTACTCTTATTTTAAATGCAATAAACATCCACCCGCGCGCAGGTGTTTACATAACTTATTTTTCCTGCAATCATTTTTCTGTTTGAACACGTTTGCCGGCTCCGAACCAAATCGTATTGTTACGATGCAGTGAATGTTTGGACTTCTTTATTTTATGTTAAAGCCTCAGTCATGTTTTCTGGGATTGAGTTAGGCACCTGGAAACGTTTCTGCCTTAAAGTATTACGGTGTTAAGAGAGCGGCTGTTTTCTATATGGCAAATGGGACTTTTTGAAATCGATATTTTTAAAGATGAAATATTAGTGTTTTCCCCTCTCATCCGAGGTTCTCTTTTATATACAACGTGTAAATAATTTATATTATAATGGTGTCATTGTAAATAAACGACAACAATGCAGACTTGACTTTTAAGATATTTTTATTTCACAACACGAAATTCATCAAAAAGACAAAAGAAGAAAAAAAAGGGAAAAAAGTAACTTTAAAAAAATGAAATGTGTTGATACTGATTAGGATGACATAATGAGAGCGCAACAGGGAGGACACCTGTGGTCTGCACACAAAGTTACGCGCTCAACACGTCTGCACCTCTACTCAAAACGCAGGTGTTCATTTCGTAAAATGTTTGCATTTTACCGTAATCTGCTCCACTTACTGCACAGGTCCTGTTCAGGCTGTGAAGTTCAGCCACAGCATGTCAGATACAATCATCGCCAAAAGCTCTTTATCACAATTTCGATTTTAGCTGATAGTTGTGGTCCACTTTTATTACAAAGAGCATTAAAAAAAGAAAGCTAATCTGAAGAAGTTATTTTTCTGTTCCTTTAAAACGTATCTCCAGGTGTTTTCCATACATTTCCAAAGGGCATCTTTAAAAAAAAACCTTCTAAACCTCCTAAAAGTGTATTATTTTAATTTTGAGTTTGTTGACCCGATGATTGCAAGCTTTTCACACAGCAGCCCTCAGTAGAATGACATTTAAGGCCATGGGCTAGGGTCCGGATAAAAATTAAGAGGGCAGAGGGGTGTCTTCATCATGGAGAGATTTAATATTTGTAAATTTATTTGAGACTTTTGTTTTAAAATAAAAAAACAGTTCCATATTTGACATAACCCATATGGAGCACGTCAATGTAGTTGGAAAGAAACTATCCATGATTATTAACCTAGGCATTTTTGGGATACAAAATTGGCCCATGTGACAGAACAGTTTCAAAAACTCTCATCTCCAATCACATCATTGGTGCAGTAGCCCTTATGGCTTTAAACTGATGGAAATCATGAACACACCCAAGAAACTATTCATCGCACACATATCATTTTATTTACAGACACACACACACATAAAGAAATCATTTACACTCAGTTTCCGTATTTCAGTTGTGACCACGTGTGACAGAATGCAACACAGTGTGTTCACCATGAGCACGATTTCAAATTCCCTCAGCTGCAGATTGGGCAGGAACCGAGACATGCAGTCACTTCCAAAAGCCTCACCCTATATGGTGCCTGACAACACTAACAGCGACATATCTGCCAGGCTTGCACCCAAAACTCCTTAATGTGGGAAAATCTGAACCAGATTAGTTGACCGTCTTTATTCTTTGATCTTCAGGACCGCTGCATAGCTGCATCTACATGGTTTCCCTCACATTTTCATTATAATGTTTAATTCAGGATCATTTGCAATTTGCACACCAACACTACTTGAAATTCAATTTGAAACAAGAGCAGAAGAGACTGACAAGAGAGAGACGAATGATATGAGAATAAAAAGGTCATTATTTCAGCTAAAAATAGAAACCATCTATAGAGTGCAATATCCAGCAAATCATTCAGTTATAGATTGTCCTTTTGCAAGACACACGTTGAAAAATAAGCCAGTCTCAAATAAGGATTGTAATTCTGAATAATAACTGTTGTTAATTTGACTTTTCATTCACAAGAAAATGCTTCCAGAGATTATTCATTTCAATCCATATCTAAGTATTATGTATCAGTACAAACCAAGCGTTCCTGTGTTGTACAAATTAGGGTAAACCAGTAGAAAAGCAACAGCCAAAATTATCTGCAAATTCAGAGCCCAAAGAGTACCCTGATAGCATCACTGAAATCTTACAAACACGTTTATGTCTGAGGGCAGTTTACCTGAACATCGGTGCATGGTAAGAAAAATCAAACAGAAGCAGAATGAAATGTGGAGAGCAGAGGGAGATCCATTAACCAAAAGCCAGAGATTTGTCTGAGGCGCGTTCACTGGCAGCAGCAGCAACAGTGACCTGGGGTTTCTGAATGGCTGCAGAAGCCTTCATCTGCATTTCCTTTCTTAGCTGGCTTGTATGTGGAAGTAACGCCCAACGGTCTCTGACTTGATGAGCAGAGCTAGTCTTGA